AGGATGATGATTAATTCTGATTAAATGGTACATTAATGACTTGACTGTACATGTATTATTTATAATAATAAATGAATTTAAAAATTGTATGCTTTCAAATATTATTAATATAGTTATGAAAATAAATAATCAGTCCCTTGTTTTAATGAAAATGAAAAATCTTGTATCAACAGTGCAGGAAATAAATAATCTGTCCTCTTAGTTTACAAAAATAAATAACCGATCCAAAACAAATCCTCCTGGCCCCCCCCCCCCCCCCCCCCCCCCCCCCCCCCAGAATATCAAATTGTCGTCCCCTAATAAGAAATGTTGCCATTGCACGGTGGTAAGAAATGTTACCATTGCACGGTGGTAAGAAATGTTGCCAATGCACGGTGGTAAGAAATGTTACCATTGCACAGTGGTAAGAAATGTTGCTATTGTAGGTTATAAGAAATGTTGCCATTGCACGGTGGTAAGAAATGTTGCCATTGCACGGTGGTAAGAAATGTTGTTAATCATAGGTGGTTAGAAAATTTAATGTTGTTATTGGTAGGTGATAAGAAATGTTGCTATTGCATGTAGTAAGAAATGAAATTATTGCACGATGATAAGGTGATAATAAATTTGTTATTGCTAGGTGCCAATAAAATGTTGCTATAGCTAGGTGGTCAGAAATTTGGTTATTGCTAGGTGGAAATAAATGTTGTTATTGCTAGGTGGAAATAAATGTTGTTATTGCTAGGTGGTAAGAAATGTTGCCATTGCACAGTGGTAAAAAATGTTTCTATTGCACGGTGATAAGAAATGTTGCCATGGCACGGTTGTGAGAAATGTTGCCATTGCACGGTGGTAAGAAATGTTGCCATTGCACGGTAATAAGAAATGTTGCCATTGCACGGTGGTAAGAAATGTTACCATTGCACGGTGGTAAGAAATGTTACCATTGCAGGGTGGTAAGAAATGTTGCTATTGTAGGTAATAAGAAATGTTGCCATTGCACGGTGGTAAGAAATATTGCCATTGCACGGTGGTAAGAAATGTTGTTAATCATAAGTGGTTAGAAAATTTAATGTTGTTATGGGTAGGTGATAAGAAATGTTGCTATTGCATGTAGTAAGAAATGAAATTATTGCACGGTGATAAGGTGATAATAAATTTGTTATTGCTAGGTGCCAATAAAATGTTGCTACTGCTAGGTGGTAAGAACTTTGTTATTGCACTGTGGACTGGTAATAAATGTTGTTATTGCTAGGTGATATTAAATTTGCTATTGCTAGGTGGTAAGAAATGTTGCTATTGCTAGGTTGCAATATAAAATTTTGTTTTTCCTAGGTGGTTAGAAATGAAGGTATTGACAAGTGGTAAGAAATGTTGCTATAGCTAGGTGGTCAGAAATTTGGTTATTGCTAGGTGGAAATAAATGTTGTTATTGCTAGGTGGAAATAAATGTTGTTATTGCTAGGTGGTAAGAAATGTTGCTATTGATAGGAGATAAGAAATGTTGTTATAGCTAGGTGGCCAGAAGTGTTGTTATTGATAGATGGTAAGAAATGTTGCTATAGCTAGGTGGTAAGAAATGTTGTTATTGCTAGGTGGTAAGAAATGTTGTTATTGCTAGGTGGTAAAGAAATGCTGTTGTTCAGTGGTTGTTGTTTGTTGATGTGATTCATAAGTGTTTCTCATTTCTCGTTTTTTATATAGATTAGACCGTTGGTTTTCCTGTTTGAATTGTGTTACACTAGTCATTTTTGGGGCCCTTTATAGCTTGCTGTTCGTTGTGAGCCAAGGCTCCGTGTTGAAGGCCGTACTTTGACCTATAATTGTTTACTTTTTACACATTGTGACTTGGATGGAGAGTTGTCTCATTGGCACTCATACCACATCTTCTTATTTATATTGTTACTCCTATGTGGTAAGAAATTTTGTTATTGCTAGGTGGTAATAAATGTTGCTGTTACTAGATGGTAAGAAATGCTGTTATTGCTAGGTGGTAATAAATGTTGCTATTACTAGATGGTAAGAAATGTTGTTATTGCTAGGTGGTAAAGAAATGTTTTATTGCACGGTAGTAAGAATTGTTGCTATTGCATGGTGGTAGGAAACGTTGCGATTGCATGGTGGGGAGAATTGTAATTGTTAACTGGTAAAACTGTAGTTATTGCAGGGTGGTAAGAAATGTTACTATTGCAGAAGGATGAAAAATATTGCTATTACTGGGTATTAAAAAATGTTGTTCAGTACTGTAGGGTGGTAAGAAATATATTTTTTCAGGATGGTTAGAAATGTAGCTATTGAGCTTCTTATTTTATTTCACATTTCCTATTTAAAGGATAAGAATAAGTATGTTCTTTAAATATTTTTCTCATCAACTTGATATTCAGTAAGGGAGCTACCATTTGATTTTTATGAGGGGCTAGGATGAAATTTGAAAAAAAAGGCAGGACAGGAGTTTTGAGTAAAAAAAAAGGCAGGATGAAACACTTTGCAATAAAAAAAGGCAGGATGAAACACTTTGCAAAAAAAAAAGGCAGGATGACAATTTATGTAAAAAAAGTCAGGATAAACTAATAAAAAAAAAGGCAGGACCGAATAGAGTGAAAAATAAAAAGGCAGGACAGAGATTACAACTAAAAAAAAAATGCAGGACAAAATTTTTCATCCTAGCCCCCCCATAAAAATCAAATGGTAGCTCCCTAAACAGGAATTTCCTTCTAGAATCCAAATAGATTATATCAGTCAATATTCAATATAGTAAACAGTATTTCTAAATTTGTTAACTGAAAAGTGGCACAAACAAAAACACAATTTTTCTATGAGCTTCCCATCTGTTCCAATGCCTATGAAATAGTTAGACAAATAAATGGACATTAAATGGATTCCTACATATTCCGAACCCTTTGAGACAAGGATTAAACAAAAGACATAACAACCAGGATTTTAAAGTGTTATAAAATTGTGAAAATATATGAAAGGATTTCACATGTATTATATAAATGTACAGATTGTACACATGTAAAACTCTACAAAAAATTGAATAAATATACAATGTTAGGTCAATGTCAGAAAAATATAAACTTTTTTGTATGAGGCTGAGAAAATGGGGAAGGGCGAGGTTTTACCGAGCCCTCCCCAGTTTTGTGCCGAATACAAAACAGTTTATATTTTTCTGACATTGACCTTATATTGTTTTTATACTGCAACTTAAATTAATACATTGATAGCTATTTAAATTGTAGCGCAAATTTTAAACTTATTTTTATCCCTAAATGAACCCTGATTGTGGAAAAAGTGATCCATGATGAAATTGACATTGCACAAAATAAAAGCTTTGTTACTATATTTAGGAAATAAACACAGCTAGTTGCAGTATAAATAAAAAATACCAGTTGTAATATGCAGATATGTACATGATGTTTTGTCTTAATCTGAAAATAATCTGCTGAAATGTATTCCATTAAACATGTTCAACATCCAATACAACATTGTTTCTTTGAAATTTGAAACAATGTTCCCTTGTTTTTAAATAAGTAAATTTAGGTGTATAGGTTTGATAAAATTTTTGGCCTTTTGAATGAAAAAAACACAGGAAGAACTGACCATGCCTCTGTTGTAAAGTTATAACTTGACAAAATATTTCTAAAACACATTTCATATAAATAAGTATATTTTGTGTACAAACATAGACATATAAAAAAAATTCATTTGAAAGAGATAGACAATCGGAGTACATAATTAATATAAATATTACTCACAGAATAGAAATTGTTCGTTAGGAAATGACCTTTTTAATGTATCTGTATGTTTTAGATGTTAGCCAATAAAGAACATTTTATTCAAGTTTTGTGCTTTTATTTCCTGGTCTGATTCAATATCAAACAGTGAATTATCTTTAGTATATGTTAGTATGTACTCGACATAAGTTTCTTTTTACGTAATTGCCTCTTGTGTATAATCTGACTACTTCCTGACTTAGCACGACTTACATTATAAAGGCTTATGATTAAAAATTTCTCTTCTGACATATTTATTTTCAATTGTTTCAATATTTATGTGCTTTTTCTTAAATTGTTTCCTGTTATTTGAACTGATACACTCTCAGAAAATTTTAAAAAGTTCATATTTCAATATAGTTACTTGAAGACTAAGTTAACCGCCTCTGTGATCTTGTGTTCGCATTAAGAGAAGGAGGTCATGAGTTTGAACCCCTGCAAGGTCAATGCAAAGACTAAAATTGGTAATTGCTTCTTCTCTGCTAAGCATGCGACATTAAAGAGAAATAAAGACTGGTAGGCTTGGAGTCAGAATAGTGTGTCCAGGTATGGTAATATGTCTTCATGCAGACTGTTACCTTGTGAACTAGCACATTAAAAATACGGCTTAGCATGTCTGTCTGGTACATTAAGTAGGGTTAATATTCATTTTGCGCTTACATGTTCTATTCCTGAATATTCATTATATTTGCCACTGGACGTTAAACAGGCATCAATCAATAAACTAAATAAAGGAACTTTAACAATTTAGGGAAGTATTAATTCCTGGCCGAGAAGGCACGTAATTAAATTGATTTATAAATGCTTAATATATGTTATATTTTATCATACTCTGCTGTATATGGGTATACTTACTTATATGATTATTTGACTGATTGTTTAAATGTATTATATATATTTCACTGATGTAATTGAATATTTGTAATATCTATATTCTATAAGTTGTATTGCTTACGAATAAAAGATTATTATTTTTAAATTAACAATGATCTCATTAAAAATTATTTGAAAGGTGAGAAATCCTACTCTATTGACCCTTCTTACATTATCTTGTAAAGAAGTGATTTTTAGGTCTCTTTGAAAATTTAAAGTAAGTATCAAGACGAATAATAGACAGACACTGTCCATTTGATATTCTACCATTTCTATTTCCAATATCAATTTCTTCAATTTGCTATGACTGATGTATTCTCTCTTTCCTATATTTGGATTGAAACAATATATTCTGGAATGTAATGAAAAAACTAATTTCAAAAACAGCCTTTTTATTTCAAAAGGAATGAAATTAATAAATATTTTATAGAAACATAAATAATATTAAACAACCATTTATAATATGCTTAAACAATTCAATAGAAAAAGTACATGAAGTTAAATGATAGGGGCGGATCCAGGATTTTAAGTTAGGGGTGGCGCAAACTTTAAATTTCGAAAAAAAATTTGAGGTAAAATTATTGAAATATTCTTCTAGAGTGTAGAGACAACCCATGCTTTGCAAATATTAGGGGGGCCCCCGCACGCCACGCCCCTGCCTGAATTCGCCCCTGAATGAGATGCGATGCTATTAGTATATATCATTTGTTCAATATCTAAACAATCTACAAAGATGGTTGGAAATTATTTATACAGAGTAATATTCAAGACTAAATATATAATTCCTTAATGCAGATACTGAGTGATAAATTTCAAAACTTTCAGTTCAGAGGGACAAACAGATTTAAATAAAACAGGACGGAGGTCAATGCAGTAACCCATCAACTCTACCAGACATGGTATGAATAACCGTGTACAAAAACAATCTTCTGTAAACAATTTTACTATAGATCAATATCACAATAAAAGCCATAATCTTATAACCTATTTCTTGGGAATGGTTTTGTTTTGTTGTGATGTTTTTTTTTTTCCAAAAAAAAAAAAAACTTCAAAAAAGTTATTTTCAACTAAATCAAATAAGAATCTCTTTTTTAAAGAATTTTGTTCAATTGTATTAATCATTGTTTCCATTGCTTTTAGATATGTTAACTACAAAGTGAATTGGGGGAAAAAAACAAGCATACATACATTCATAGACGACTTATGAAAAATAGTAGTCAAAAATCAATTATTGTTATGAATGTACAACATGAAATAAGTTGCCAAGTAAAAAAAATCAATTATTCTATGAAACAGAATTAGCTGCAATAACTTTTACTATGACATTATATAAAAATAAAATTAATGAGAAGAATCTGATGCATAATGATAGCAAATTTGATGATATATAATAAAGATCCCACTAACGCATACCATGGTATAGTATACATGTATACAATTACAGTTAATTATCTTGAAATAGCCTCATTATATAAAATCAATGTTCTAATACCATGACCAACTACTGTAGAACTCGTCTGATATATGTGTAAATAATATTTTGATTTCTGAGTCAGAATGAAAATATTAAAACAATAAAACAAGGACATCACTGGGAGAAAAAGTCATTTTAAATGTGTTATTTGTCAAAGTTTGAGTCAGATGGGTTTGAAATTTGTCTTTCATAGATAGATCCCTAACTTTCCAAAATTTATTTTGATTATTTCATTATAAGTCAAGCAATTTGCATGTCTTTAAAAGTCGATCAAACTTATTAAGAGGTCCATATAAGACATCAATACTTTTTACTGAATTTAACTTCTTTTATTGGACTAAACAGTGTTTTTTACTAAACAGAACTGTTGTTTTAACTGGACATTATTAGGGTAATAATTCACTAAGATGCATTGAATCATGGATATTTTCCTCACACACAGCTATAACTTTTCTAATGTTTTCTTTTTTTTTCAGAGAACAGCAAAATTAGTTCAAAAGAAAAATAATCACTTAATCTACATTTTTTCCTTTTCGTCTCATTTTGAAAAACATCTTACACAACTTTTGTAAACATCAATATGAAGAACAACGAAAAAAAAACATTTCTTTACAATATTACTACAGTATCGAATCTTTCAAGAAATATTGCAATGGAGTGGACTCCCAAAATTTGTAGCATGAACCTCAATTTGACAAAGCAGTTTTTTGAAGTTTTTTTTATTGTGAAAGTATGTTTATTTGTTGGATAGCAAATTTTATAAAGTCCAGGTTACTGCAAATTTTTTTTGCATTCTATTTAATTTTGATTTTCCATTGATTAGTAATTAACAATTTCAAGTACCAACAAAATCAAAACTTTCCAAGTAACCATGAAAATTTACACCAACAAATAAAAGCTTTTTCATAGTACATTAACATGTAGCTGAGACATTGGTCTTATTAAATTAATAAATTAAAAAAAAACACACACACACGCACACACAATTAACTGGTCCATAGTTCCAAACCAAACAAATGCTAGACTTTAACTAATGTCCTTTGGATTTACTGATAAAGAAAGATTCAAACTTAGTTTTGTCATAACAAACAGCTATCATAGCTTTAATTGCAATGTTTGTTTCAAAAGATTCAGCCAATTTTCCTACAACCAAATAACAAATGTTTTGAAAAAGTAACATAAAAATGACAATGCTGGTAATAATATAACAATATTTTCCACCAGATCTGATAACAAAGGTCACAAAATGTGCCTTCAGTATGTAAATATGTAATCTAACAAATAAACATCAGTATTTCTCTTCTTCTTTTTGTGTGTCTGATTGTTTTTCTGTTTTTAGAACTTCCACTTTGATATCACTTGTATCTGCATCAGATTGTTCGTTTGAAGGCATTTTGGTGTCAACTTCTACATGAGATAATTTTTCTTCCTCAATTCTTTGCCTTCTTTTTTCTTCTTGCTTCTTTTCTCTTTCCTCCTGAGAAAATAAGTAATGTTAAATCACTTTTCAATTCTTCTACATTGAGTCTTCAAACACAATAATTTCACTAATTTCAACCATTAATATCTGCTTACTATTAATATCCAATATTTTTATAACACTTTTTAAGAACCTCTCCAAGTAAAAGAGTAAATTATTCTTCTACATTGAGTCTTCAAACACAATTATTTCACTAATTTCAACCACTAATATCTGCTTATTATTAATATATAAACAGCTTTAATAATTCATCTTTTAATATTTCTTTCATTCAGAATACTATTTGGGAGGTGTGGGGTTTATTCAAAGAACAAAATCCGACCATTTGAAATAAAATATAAGTACAGTAAGAGTTATCTCTCTTTCCTTACCTCTTCTTTCAGACTATAGTATTCATCTATTGCATATTGATATTTTGGTGTAAAAGTACAGTAAGAGTTATCTCTCTTTCCTTACCTCTTCTTTCAGTCTATAGTATTCATCTATTGCATATTGATATTTTGGAGAAGTAATACCAAAGAACCAGGCAAGATGTTCTCCACATGTGTCAGCCACTATAAGTAAATTAAATGATATTAATGCACAATAAGTAAATTCCTCTGTTTATATTATAGTAACATATTTTTAAAACTTATGGTTTGAAGGTGATCCCTTATTTGAATGAAAATGAAAACTCCCTGATTCAAAAGTATTCCTAAACGTTAAACCTGTTTAGATCGTCTTTCCTCAATTTCATTCATAATACAAAATACAGGAAACGATTTGCAACTATGCACAGACAATTAAAGAAACAACAGTACACAAAACACAACATAGAAAACTAAAGACTGAGCAACACGAACCCCACCAAAAACTGGGGTGTGATATCAGGTTCTCTTGAAGGGTAAGCAGATCATGCTCCACATGTGGCACCTGTTGTGTTGCTCATGTTAGTACAACACATATCCAGTAAAAGTCAATATGACAGCAATCCAACATAGAAAACATCTAGAATTCAAAATTACATATATGGTATAACACCCTTTTCTATGATAGACAAGCGTCTGCATGTTATGTCTAAATAACCCAAAGTGTTGAACTGTAGTGGATAAATTTACCAGATACTGTCATACCAATTTTAACCCAAAATAGTTCCTACTCAAAGCTGAGAAAAATCATACATCCATATCACTCTATTTACATTGTAGTTGTTATTAGATTAATAATTTTTTTCACTATTTCAAAATACTTTGAATGAAAAAAGATGTGGTCATGAAACTTGAATATTTCCCTACAATAGATTCCATTTCAAGGGGACATTACTGTGAAAAGTACTTAAAAACAAAGTAAATATTACCTGATAGAGCTTTCTTTGATACAGTCACAACATGGTACCACACCCATGGCATCCATGTTAATGTTTTCTGTAAAATTAAATAAATAGATATTAGTCTTTAGTCTCACATTTTGCACCACATAAAATCATAAAATTGGAAGGTCTAAGGTCTAGAAGGAAGGAACATACATGTCCATGCAACAAACATGTTCATGTTATGCCTAAACAACATGAAATTCAACACCAATTCTTAAAACATTTAAACCATTGGATATAAAGAAAAAAAAAGTGAACAAAGGGGAGTAACTCTAATATGTTAATTGCTGACAAACAGGCAGTAGACATTTACTTTACAATCCATTCAAATAAAATATTTATTTAATCATATGTGAATTTGCATTAGGAAATAATATATTGTATCACAGAAATCACATGTAAAGCTCTTATCTAGAGTCATACAATAATGTATAATCTTCAAAGGAAGATATGTGTCGCCACCAAAAATACCTACATGTAAATCAATGTTTCAGTTGGGAAGACCAAAAAAGTCACTCCAATAAAAAAATAAAAAAGAAGGTCAACAAATTCATGTCCTATAGAAAAATCTTAGCAAGTGGATAATGATGCTGGATGGAAGAAGTGATCCCTTTGTGTTGCTGCAGCTGGAAACCATTAGGCCACACAATCAAGGGCTCAGCACACTTTTAAGTTTGTTTTTTTTTAATAAAAGGAGATTGTGGGGTATACATCATAAGACAGCAACCATTGACACAAATAATACCAGAAATTAAACCTGGAGGTCAACGTCTGTCTTCATAAATAGACAAGTGTATATATAGTAAAGTACAGTGATGCCCCTGATGCCTTTGGAATGGGGTAAATATATTTTGACTGCATATGTTTATTAGATTGTTACTGAGAATGGATCTGACATCAGGCCCCTATAGAATGCTTTTGAAGATTTGGTGAATCCACACAGGCATTTTTAGATTAAACATATTGGACAACCCACTGCTTGTCGAGGATTTTAAACCTACAGGATCAACCATTGGTTGTGGAGGATTTTCATCTTCTTCATCTGTAGAATATTCTTCTAATATACCATCACTAAAGTGTAAAATTCTTCTTGGCTGTTTCTTCTTTTTCTTCTGTCCTTCTTGCAGTGAAATATCCGTAAATTCTGTACACTAAAAACACAAAATTAAATGAAAAGTTACAGTACTTAAATTTAAAATCAAAAATTGAAAACAACACTTTATAAATGTTATGCTTCCAAAGTACTTTCATAAGACTCAAAGCCAAGTATTTGAACGCAAGGATGTATAAGTACAGAAAAATCAATCAATATCATTTTCCACCAAAGTTTTTTGTGATGAATATCCATGTCTTTTCTAGTCTGAGTGTTGCTGGATTGCTGTCTCATAAAGGTATATCCTATATATATTTTTTAATTCAAACTTGTTTGTTCTAAAACTGTTGTTGGTGCTGTGATCCAGCCTATCTACATTGTGTAGAATTATGAATATCATAACATGTAAACTCTTACATGTACATTAAACATGATACTCAAATGTGTGGTCTTTTGTTTATTCAAATCTGTTTCCTTTTCATAAAGTAGACTTTCAGTAATGTGATGTAACCAAGGACAGGCACATATAGAATCCCTTATCTTGGACCATTGTAACAACACAAGATTATAACAAATTGTAAAAATCAGCAGGAAAGGTCCTGATTCTTCAGATCGGCACAAAGTACACAATTCATCTAATAAAAACCCAAAAAATGATACTAAAGGCTCTAAAGAGCCTGTGTCGCTCACCTTGGTCTATGTGCATATTAAACAAAGGACACAGATGGATTCATGACAAAATTGTGTTTTGGTGATGGTGATGTGTTTGTAGATCTTACTTTACTGAACATTCTTGCTGCTTACAATTATCTCTATCTATAATGATCTTGGCCCAGTAGTTACAGTGGAAAATATTTTGTTAAAATTTACAAAAATTTACAAAATTTATGAAAATTGTAAAAAATTGACTATAAAGGGCAATAACTTCTTAAGGGGTCAATTGACAATTTTGGTCATGTTGACTTATTTGTAGATCTTACTTTGCTGTACATTATTGCTGTTTACAGTTTATCTCTATCTATAATAATATTCAAGATAATAACCAAAAGCTGCAATTTTTTTTTAAAATTACCAATTCAGGGGCAGCAACCCAACAACATGTTGCTTGATTGGTCTGAAAATTTAAAGCAGGTAGATCTTGACCTAATGATCATTTTATCCTCGTCAGATTTGCTCTAAATGCTTTGGTTTCAGAGATATGAGCCAAAAACTGCATTTTACCCTATGTACTATTTTTTAGCCATGTCGGCCATCTTGGTTCGCAGGCAGGGTCATCGGACACATTTTTTAAACTAGATACCCTAATGATGATTGTGGACAAGTTTGGTTAAATTTGTCTCAGCAGTTTCAGAGGAGAAGATTTTTGTAAAAGATTACAAAAATTTACGAAAAATGGTTAAAAATTGACTATAAAGGACAATAACTCCTTTAGGGGTCAACTGACCATTTTGGTCAAGTTGACTTATTTGTAGATCTTACTTTGCTGAACATTATTCCTGTTTACAGTTTATCTCTATCTATAATAATATTCAAGATGATAACCAAAAACGGCAAAATTTCCTTAAAATTACCAATTCAGGGGCAGCAACCCAACAACGGGTTGTCCGATTCATCTGAAAATTTCAGGGCAGATAGATCTTGACCAGATTAACAATTTTACCCAATGTCAGATTTGCTCTAAATGCTTTGGTGTCAGAGATATAAGCCAAAATCTACATTTTACCCCTATGTTCTATTTTTAGCCATGGCGGCCATCTTGGTTGGTTGGCCGGGTCACCGGACACATTTTTTAAACTAGATACCCCAATGATGATTGTGGCCAAGTAGTTTCAGAGGAGAAGATTTTTGTAAAAGTTAACGGACGACAGACGACGAACGCCAAGTGATGAGAAAAGCTCACTTGGCCCTTTGGGCCAGGTGAGCTAAAAAAAGGCACAAATCTTTTTTACTGTTTGGCTTTCAAGACTTCTTTACATATAAGATGACCCCCAAAAAGAATATATGACTAATGTCTCTGTATTGAGAGAAACAATTTTTAATATTCTGACTGTGTTTACTCTTATACTATTTCTTTGATTTAAAAATATTTAAAACAAGACTTGAAAATAAAGTTAACTAATAACTGAAACAATTTTTTTTACTTTCTTTTTCATGTTGACAATCTATCTATATTGTTTCATTGTCTATTTATACTTTATGTTCCACTTTCACTTGCAATACCAGGGTCACTCTATGACGTTGTATTTAGACAACCCAATTATCTACTTAAGATTTTCTACTTCTACTCATATATTTATCCTGATGACACTAGGCACTGAAACATGTCGATCAAAAAATTTACTGCAGCAATCACTAAAGTGTTGAATTGTCGTGTAAATTGTGTTATAAGACTTTCTACATTCTATGTGTTTTATCGTATTGACCCTGCATACCAGAGATATCCACTTCAGGGATTCTACTGTACTACAGATTCACCAGGCCTTGGTTCACTTTTTGTTTATAATGAAATAAAAAAAGTGTAAGTTTTTTACAATTTCCCATGATGTCCATTGTTTTCCCTCTTCTCCCGGTTCCCTCGGTCTCTTTCTTTGGTTTTCACCCCTTATTCCCAGGTTCCCTCTATGAATGTCAAACCCCTTTATGTACAAACATTGTGTACATCATGTACAATGTAGTTCAACACACATTCACTTCTTGAACGCCTATTGCCTTAACCTTTTAACGGATGTCCATTTAACTTGAATATAAAAGTCGTATTGATGTCTCAGTTGACGAAAGCAATATTTCTTCGATTTGATAATTCTGACATCAACACACAGGACAGTGCGTGATTTGCAGAAAAGGACACAGATTTGAGACAAGAAAGAGGTCTATGACCCAATCTGGAAAAGACACAGATCTAAAGAAAGGATACAGATTTGAGGCTAGACATGCATGTATATTGTGTATTTAAATTCTATTTATCTATGGAAATCAATGTTCTTTTTCCTTATACATGTACAGTCGTGTCCGGTAATTCCCCTCGTCCAGTAAACCCGCCCACTCCCATTTACTTCCTTTATTGTCTTTTCCGTGAATATTTCGTCTGCTATTTTATATTTTATTTCATAGGAACTGTACTTATCATCACTGCATGTCAAATTTTAAAGAAAAATCCTTTATTACGAAAAAAATATCTAGTGATATATATAATATAGTTCCTAAAGCTAGCAATAATCATATTATTGCTTACAAAACTCATTTCTGACTTGAAATTATTTTTTTTTCGATTGTCTGGAATCCATTTATAAGTGGTCTTTAATTAAATAGATCACCTTTTCCTTTCATAAATATGTGATAAACTGGCCTTCCATACATATTAACTGCGCAAGGATGGATTCACCAGACAAACACATTTCCGATAAAAACAGAAATGACCCACTTGTTTTGTTGATTCTGAAATTTATTTCTAATATTTTTGGGGAAATGAGATGAACTACTCAAAATTGATTTGTCAGTGAATCGATTTACATTAAATTTGATACAATTTGTATTTAATTAAGCAGAAATACATATGATCAAAGCCTTATGAAGGCGGATTTACCGGCATCGTATGCTCTATAGATGCCCCTGGTGGGCCCTTAAGGCTTAATCAGTTAATTGGTAATATAATATGTTCTTGTTCTTGTTCTATATTTAAGGCTGTAAGCAGGGTGATTCTCATCTGGTCAATTGTCTTTGTGCCGGTCCATGTCTGTATGCTGACGCATTATGTTGATGAATTATAGTCGAATGCACGTCGCTTCGTAACCTGGTCGTTTCGTACCTGGTCGATTCGTAACTACGTTGTTTTGTAACTGAGACGTTTCGTACCTGGTGTAATTATATATGGTTATAACGTGTTAGTTTAAATTAATTAGTTTAAATGAAAAAGTTAAAGTTATTATTTAAAAATGATCAAATTGTTCATCTAATAATTGTAATATTTTTAATTTAAAACTTTCTTAAATCTTTTTAATTATTGGCTAATTTGCTAATTGGTAATTACGCTCGGTGACAGCTTTAATGGTTTTATGACAACTAATGACAGGTAATAATAAAATGCTTCGCTGGGGCGCAGCTTGATACGACCGCAGAGGTCGAAACCTGAACAGTTGGGGCAAGTATGGACACAACATTCAGGCTTGATACAGCTCTGAATTTGGATTGTTATTAAATATTTGACACAGCATAGGTTTCTGACACAGAAAGAATGTGGTCTAAGAACTTGAATTTTTTTAATTTACCTATTATGGTCCAATGTCCAAAATCAAAATACATGATTAGATTCAGCATATCAAAGAACCCCATATATTCAATTTTTGTTAAAATCAAACAAAGTTTAATTTTGGACCCCAACTTGGACAAACTTGAAAACTGGGCCCATAATCAAAAATCTAAACACATGTTTAGATTCAGCATATCAAAGAACCCCAAGAATTCAATTTTTGCTAAAATCAAACTAAGTTTAATTTTGGACCCTTTGGACCTTAATGTAGACCAATTTAAAAAACGGGACTTAAAATTAAAAATCTAAATACACGGTTAGATTTGGAATATCAAAGAACCCCAATAATTCAATTTTTGATGAAATCAAACAAAGTTTAATTTTGGACCCTTTTGACCTCAATATGAACCAATTTGATAGCGGGGCCCACAAATAAAAAATCTAAATTCATGGTTAGATTCAGCATATCAAAGAACCCCATATATTCAATTTTTGTTGAAATCAAAAAAAGTTTAATTTTGGACCCCAACTTGGACCAACTTGAAAACTGGGCCCATAATCAAAAATCTAAACACATGTTTAGATTCAGCATATCAAAGAACCCCAAGAATTCAATTTTTGTTAAAATCAAACTAAGTTTAATTTTGGACCCTTTGGACCTCAATGAAAACCAATTTAAAAAACGGGACCCAAATTAAAAATTCTAAAAACACGGTTAGATTCAGCATATCAAAGAACCCCATATATTCAATTTTTGTTAAAATCAAACAAAGTTTAATTTTGGACCCCAACTTGGACAAACTTGAAAACTGGGCCCATAATCAAAAATCTAAACACATGTTTAGATTCAGCATATCAAAGAACCCCAAGAATTCAATTTTTGCTAAAATCAAACTAAGTTTAATTTTGGACCCTTTGGACCTTAATGTAGACCAATTTAAAAAACGGGACTTAAAATTAAAAATCTAAATACACGGTTAGATTTGGAATATCAAAGAACCCCAATAATTCAATTTTTGATGAAATCAAACAAAGTTTAATTTTGGACCCTTTTGACCTCAATATGAACCAATTTGATAGCGGGGCCCACAAATAAAAAATCTAAATTCATGGTTAGATTCAGCATATCAAAGAACCCCATATATTCAATTTTTGTTGAAATCAAAAAAAGTTTGATTTTGGACCCCAACTTGGACCAACTTGAAAACTGGGCCCATAATCAAAAATCTAAACACATGTTTAGATTCAGCATATCAAAGAACCCCAAGAATTCAATTTTTGTTAAAATCAAACTAAGTTTAATTTTGGACCCTTTGGACCTCAATGAGGACCAATTTAAAAAACGGAACCCAAATTAAAAATCTAAAAACACGGTTAGATTTGGCATATCAAAGAACCCCAATAATTCAATTTTCGATGAAATCAAACAAAGTTTAATTTTGGACCCTTTTGACCTCAATATGAACCAATTTGATAGCGGGGCCTACAAATAAAAAATCTAAATACATGGTTAGATTCAGCATATCAAAGAACCTCATATATTCAATTTTTGTTGAAATCAAACAAAGTTTAATTTTGGACCCCAATTTGGACCAACTTGAAAACTGGGCCCATAATCAAAAATCTAAATACATGTTTAGATTCAGCATATCAAAGAACCCCATATATTCAATTTTTGTTGAAATCAAACAAAGTTTAAATACTGGACCCTATCTTAGACCAACTTGAAAACTGGGCCCATAATCAAAAATCTAAACACATGTTTAGATTCAGCAAATCAAAGAACCCCAAGAATTCAATTTTTGTCAAAATCAAACTTAGTTTAATTTTGGACCCTTTGGACCTCAATGTAGACCAATTTAAAAAACAGGACCCAAAATTAAAAATCTAAATACACGGTTAGATTTGGAATATCAAAGAACCCCAATAATTCAATTTTAGATGAAATCAAACAAAGTTTAATTTTGGACCCTTTTGACCTCAATATGAACCAATTAGATAACGGTGTCCACAAATAAAAAATCTAAATACATGGTTAGATTCAGCATATCAAAGAACCCCATATATTCAATTTTTGTTGAAATCAAACAAAGTTTAATTTTGGACCCCAATTTGGACCAACTTGAAAACTGGGCCAAAAATCAAAAATCTAAATACATGTTTAGATTCAGCATATCAAAGAACCTCATATATTCAATTTTTGCTAAAATCAAACAAAGTTTAATTTTGGACCCTTTGGACATTAATGTAGACCAATTTGAAAACTGGACCCAAAATTAAAAATCTAAATACACTGTTAGATTCGGCATAACAAATAAATAAATGTGATCAAAGATTTTACAAATCTAATGCGCCATGCTGTGCAATTAAAGATTACTTCTTGAAATTTTTCAATATTTGAAATTTGAAAAAAAAATAATATTTGAAGAATAATTTTTTTTAATTTCTGAAATCTGAAATGAGAAAAAATTGGCCCCCCACAATTTCTTTTTATCCCCCCCCCCCCTTTTTCCCCCAAAAAAATTCTTTCCCTCAAGATATGGTCATAATCTCAATTCAAATTTCCAATGGAGTTGGCAACCATAATTACCCATTTAAATTTACCATAGTGCTAACTTAATCTATTTTATAATAGAATTAATAAAAATATAGTGTCAAGTCTTTCATATGGATTTTTTTGTAAAAAAAAAAGATGAAAACATTTGCAGATATTTTTACTGGTCTTCCTTTATAAATATGCATTTCCTTAAACATAATTTAAAAGCAGTGTAAGGGAAGTAACCAAAACATTGTATTTGGATTACCTCCCTTACACTGTTTTAGATTATCTTTATTGTTCATTAACCATTACTTTATACATAATTTAAAAGCAGTGTAAGGGAGATAATTTCAATGATGTATTTGATTTATCTCCCTTACACTGCTTTAAATTATGTTTTGTACTAAAGTATTTGTCCATTAACCAGGACAACCTTGTTTTTCCCCCTTTTTTGCCCCTAATTCCTAAACGGTTTGAGCCATAACCCCCCAAAGCAAATCCTAACCATCCCTTTGTGGTATGGAAACTTGTAGTATAATTTCAGAGAGATCCATACACCGTTCCACAGTTATTGTCTGGAAACTAGAAAATGCTCATTTTTGGCCCCTTTTTGGCCCCTAATTCCTTAACTGTTGGTACCATAACCCCCAAAATCAATACCAACCTTCCTTTTGTGGTATTTAACCTTATGGTCAAATTTCAAAAAGATCCAATCACTAAAACTAAAGTTAGAGTGCGAAAACCAATATGTATTCGGACGACGACGCCGGACGACGACGACGACGACGACGACGACGACGACGACGCCAACGTCATACCAATATACGACCACAAAATTTTTTTGCGGTCGTATAAAAAGTAATTACAGTAGATGTAAAGTGATTAAGTAGATTAATGGCACACGACCTATGGCACAGTACACGACCTGAAAAAACATAATTATTTTCTTCTTTTTTTCACTTTTACATGCAATTGCATAACCCTCCTCCTTTTTCACCCGGGCTGGGGACCGGCGTTGGGGGAGTTAAAGTTTTTTTTTTTTTAAGAACACTTTATCTTACTCTATTCTTTTTCTTTCTTTCAGATACATCACTATGTTGTCCTTTGTTTGCATGCTTATACTGGCATAAAGCCTGATTTTTCATCCGAAAAACCTAACACGCTGATACCTTTTTAGTTTACCTTCGGATACTAACTTGATCAAGAAACATGAAAGAAACAACTTATGATAGAAAAAAAAGAAGATAAATAAAGAACTAATTAAGCAACATAAAGATGAGTGGTGTCAAGTATTGGAGACATCAAAGCAAAGACTAAATACTTTGATAAAGATGTGGTACATCTAAATGATGATGGACAATTCAAATTCTTCTGTTCTATTCGCATGTGTGCAAAACTGTACTAGTAAAGTGTAAATTTATGTGCAATCAATTATTTAATAAATAAATATAGATATATATATATAAACATACATCAATATTAAAGTCTTTTTATTACTTTTTACGTAACCTACTACTCTTATTGTTATTATATATTGATATAAGGCTACAAAACGTCTCAGGTACAAAACGACCTAGTTAAGTTACGAATCGACTAGTTACGAAACGACCTGCACCCTTATAGTCATTTTGTACCCTAACCATACAGTCAGGGGTACTACTTGTACAAGTAATTTTTATTTACTTGAAGAAGTAAATATTAATATACTTATATAAGTAAATTTGTAGGATACTTATACAAGTGTATTTTATTTACTTGTATAGGTAAAAAAAAATTGGGCTTAGTAATGTCCCTTAGACATTCAGATTTTTTTACTTATACAAGTAAAAAAGTCATCCTATCTTCTTTTCTTGAATTCTTAGGACTTCTTTGCTCTAATAGAATTTTTGATTGTCTGTCCTTTGCAGATGTCATTACTGATCATTTAAGTGTAATTTCATGGACAATGAAAATCTCATTTGTCTGTTATCTTTAGAACACTGCTCATTTACAAGCCCCCAAGGGGCAATTTTTGAAGGCCTTGCGCAAATACTTAAGATCTTTGCGCAATCAGTTTCTTTGTTGAATTAATGAGATGAAACATTGAACTCTAATCAAAAATTATGAGCTAACCTGAGAAAAATTCTTAAAGGCATGTTTTTACATCTCAAAACATGAGAATTTTTGTGGGACTGTAAAAAAAATTTACTTATACAAGTAAATTTTTGAGAAAATTAAGGGGAGATTATTCAAACATTATAATTAACTTATATAAGTTTATTTTATTTACTTCTTCAATTAAATAAAGATTACTTATACAAGTAGTACCCCTGACTGCCATATCGTACCCTGACCATTTCGTTACAAAAAATGAATAAATGTTTCTAATTTTCTATCCTGAAATACATATTTTTCAAAGCATTACATTACTTTTGAATATTTTCGAGTAAAGGCAGTAATAATTACTCTACTTCAATGTATTTATATTTTATATAAACAATACTATGACAAATTATACTGGTACACAATACTTGTACATTAATTATATACGAGTATTGTTGACAATACTAGTCTACAAGTATTGTGGTCGCCAAGTTCAGTTGATCCTGCACCAATACTAAACAAATCTTGTCTCGCACCTGTGTACCAAACTCTATATTTTTTTAATAGTAGTCACGACTTGGATGCCTTGAACACAAAAAAAAAATCTTTGGGATTTGGAACAAAACAAAGTTGAATCTGCCTCAAAATATCAATTTCTTTATTCGAATCCCTATCTTCAGTATAAGAACTGCTCGTTTTTATCGATAGGGATCCGAATGATGGACAATAAGAAAGAAATTTACCACTGGACTAGATCCGTTTACTCTTTCTGTCATTTTTCCCTTTCTGTTTTCGATCAGAAAAAATTGGCAAGAAACAGTCGACAAAACGGGAACCAGTTCAAAAATATAACACCATTGTCAATTACGGTTGAACTCAGAATTTTTACGGGATATTTATTATGGTTAAATCAATCTATAAAATATGAAAAATTAATATTCCATCAGAAAAAAACACTTTATAATATAACATAAGAAGATCTTGTATGATTGCCAATTACAGAGACCAAATGACAAAGAAGTTAACAACTATAGGTCACCGTAGGGCCTTCAACAATGAGCAAAACACATACCCCATAGGGTTAAAAGGCCCCGAAATGACAAATGGAAAACAATTCAATATGTACAAATACTAAACGAAAAAACAAATATGATATATAGCAACAAACGTTATCCACTGAATTACGGGCTCCTTGACTGGCTTGGCCCGGCGACAGGCACATACAAAAATATGGCGGGTTTAAACATGTTTGCTGGCGCCAAATCCTCCACTTAACCTGGGACAGTGGTGTAACAGTACGACATAAGAACAAACTATAAAAATCAGTTGAAAAGGGTTTTACTCATCAGATTGAAACAAAGCACATAAAAACCCTAACAAAAAACAACACAAAGAACATATCTGAGAGTACTCGCAGTTATTGAAAGCTAGTTCAAAGCACAACTAATAAAACATCATGTTTCGTAGACTAAAATATCAATCAGTACACATCCAACATCCAATGGATTTAGTGTAGTGACGTCATTAACAGTCAGAGAAAAACATGACCTTATGCAATGCTAAACTATAGGTATCAAAAGATTGTAGAACCGTGAATGTACATATGTTTATAACAATAATATTTAGTTTGATTGTAATTTACTGATAACATAATATTCAAAGATCTAATTACAGTGTTGAATTGTTACCTTTTTAGAATATACATACCGTAAGTTGGTGCCAAAGGAACATCACCGTCCAAATTGAAAAAATGAATAAATTAACAATAGGGAACGAAAAATTGTCCCTTTTGTCGTATTTTTTTGTGTATAGTTTCCCGTGTAAAACTGAAACATCTAAATATAGGAAAGGATAGTTAATACCGTTTATATTTTATTTTTTAAAGTAAGTTCCTTTGGGTAAATTTCGGTAGTATATATTTAGAAAATTCTTATTAAACGAAAATATATTATCAAGATAACGGTAAGTGTTGTTGAATTTATCAATCAACTTGATGCAATTTAAACGAGTCTTTACTGAGTTAGGCCATAAACTGTGATATATAACAGTAACGAAACATTTCTTCTATTAAAGGGACGCAATTGGGGCCCATAAGAATACCTACAACTTAAACATGAACTGTTGATAATGAATTTTAATATGTTATATAATCCACTTATGAAGCAACCTTGGAAGAAAGAAACAAAAAATAGCAGACAAATTTTTGATCGACCATAACGGCATCCCAATACACTGAAAAGTAATGATATAAAAGCAACCGAAATGGCTTGAACTTGGACGGTTAAACCAAACATATATTCATTAACTTCAATCAAATATGTTCAACACCGCCGATCAAAACATATGTTATTTCAAAGTACTCGTGCATTATTCATCCCGCACACAAATGTGAATACATCATGCTGATTATGTCAGAGGAAGATGTAACATTGGAGACATCATGCCTATAATGTCAGTGAGAAGATGTAACATTAGAGACATCATGCCTATTATGCTAGGGAGAAGACATAACATTGGAGACATCATACCGATTATGTCAGATAGAAGATGTAACATTGGAAACATCATAACTATTATGTCAGACAGAAGATGTAACACTAGAGACATCATGCCTATTATGTCAGACAGAAGATGTAACACTAGAGACATCATACCTATTATGTCAGACAGAAGATGTAACATTAGAGACATCATGCCTATTATGTCAGACAGAAGATGTAACATTGAAGACATCATACCTATTATGTCAGGGAGAAGATGTAACATTGGAAACATCATAACTATTATGTCAGACAGAAGATGTAACACTAGAGACATCATGCCTATTATGTCAGACAGAAGATGTAACACTAGAGACATCATACCTATTATGTCAGACAGAAGATGTAACATTAGAGACATCATGCCTATTATGCTAGGGAGAAGATGTAACATTGAAGACATCATACCTATTATGTCAGGGAGAAGATGTAACATTGGAGACATCATACCTATTATGTCCGAGTGAAAATGTAACATTGCATGGAGACATCATGCCTAGTACGTCAGGGAGAAGATGTAACATTGGAAACATCATGCCTAGTACGTCAGGGAGAAGATGTAACATTGGAAACATCATACCTATTATGTCCGAGAGAAAATGTAACATTGCATGGACACATCATGCCTAGTACGTCAGGGAGAAGATGTAACATAGGAGACATCATACCTATTATGTCCGAGAGAAAATGTAACATTGCATGGAGACATCATGCCTAGTACGTCAGGGAGAAGATGTAACATTGGAGACATCATACCTATTATGTCCGAGAGAAAATGTAACATTGCATGGAGACATCATGCCTAGTACGTCAGGGAGAAGATGTAACATTGGAGACATCATGTCTATTATGTCCGAGAGAAAATGTAACATTGCATGGAGACATCATGCCTAGTACGTCAGGGAGAAGATGTAACATTGGAGACATCATACCTATTATGTCAAGGAGAAGATGTTACATTGGAGACACCATGTCTATTTTGTCAGGGAGAAGATGTAACATTGGGGACATCATACCTATTATGCCAGGTAGAAGATGTAACATTAGAGACATTATACCTATTATGTCAGGGAGAAGATGTAACATTAAAGATATCATGCCTAAATACCGAACTCATGGCAAAAATGACAAACGACGAAATGACAAAACACAACATAGAAAACTTAGGAAGAGCAACATAAACCCCACCAAAACTGGAGATGATAGCATGTGCTCCGGAAAGGTAGTTCTTGTTTTTTTATTGCATGGTACCTCCATGATGAATGAGATTTGGAGGGGACGTTAATTAATATGATCCTTTATTTGATGTGTAAAATCTTGCTCGCTTGTCCGGCAGTTTTAAAATCAATTGATGTTTTTTTTTATCTTTTAAGGACCCTCCCCTGAAACTCCAGTGTACCCCAATAGCTAAGTTAAATTCATCAAATTTTAATCGGTTTGAATCCCGTAAAAATATTACTTAAAGCAAGAATAGGAATTATATTAAATCTTATCCCTAAAACCAAAAATGTGTAACAGAATCCAATGACATGAAAATGTGAAACGATGAGGGGTCAACGGTGATACACAAAACTATCGCCTTGAAAATTCTTCATTGTTGTACTTTTCCCTATATGTGTCATAGAATAGAAGTTCCTAATATAACATTAGTTCCAAATTGGAGAACTATTCTGAAATTTTACTTGTACTGGAAGAAAAGTTCTGAAATGTTACTTCTACTGGAAGAAATATTACAGTATTTGTTACTGACGGAATAAAGGGTGTATAATAGGAACGGATATTATAGCATTGTTTATATAAAGGAACTTCTGTCAGGAGGAATAACTATACGTTGGCATATATGTCAGATGTGTTAACACAGAGTAACTAAGAGTAATTTCCCTTTGACTGTACAACGTCCGAAAGATTTCGGACTACATCGATTTGTGTTTGTTTCAGTAATTTGTAAGTTTTAAATGTTAACTGAATTTAGTATAATTTATTTTTCATATACGTTAGAAAATTAAAAGTAAAAAAAATAATCAATAATTATTTTTAAAAGTTTACACTGAAAAAATTTGCAGAACTGAAGATTTTCTTACAGAATTCGCCTAAGAACTGATTAAAATACTGATTAAAATATAAACAAATAAATCAGTAAAATGCAATAAAATTTCGGTTAGAAATAATTTTATTAAATAAGGTGACAACGTGACCTTATTAGGTAGCTGAATCAAAATCAGCACAAGTTTCTAACTGAAACCCTTTATCTTTGACATATTGTCTGTATATCTTCGCTATAGTCAATTTAAAGCGCATTTATCATGTCAATCTTTTCGTCTGTAAGTTAATAACATGCGTTTTGGAAATGAATCTTCTTTCCCGGTGTTTAGATTAGTTTTTTCTTTGTAATTTCTTCTAATTTTTATTTGTTTTCACTTAATTATTGTGTTTTTGTTCCTATTTATAAGATCTTAAAATAACAGTAAGATCCATAAGAATAGAGGTACAGCACGTATATCATCTACTAGTATTGTAAGATCGTATGAATAGGAGCAAGAACACATTAAATAACTAACAAAAACTAAAATATTTAAGAAATTTGAATTAACTAAAAACAAAATACCACACAAAAATAAAAATGAATCAAATAAAAAAAGAATGTCCAATGCCCCAAGTGCCTGTGAGTCAAACAGTAACGTCGGTTTCTTGTTTAACGGTTCATTTAAATTATTCTTGAAGTTATATTTCAAAGTCGACATATTTCGTTTCATAAGTAAAAGTCAATAATGACCCTGAAAAATTGCATTTACTATAATTTTAACACTTATACATAACATTTTGTACGGTGTTTTTCAAGTCAACTTATATCACTTGTTATTGTTGTGAGATCTTCGCACCATTAGAAACTTGAACCGAAAAATATGAAAATAAAGTGAGAAAATCGCAAAAAGTCGCTGTCAGATCAATAACAGAGGGCTCAGTGCACAATAAATATCCACGAACATAATTTAAGATCAGATTACATAAAACCAATTAAAAAAATTGGATAAATTCAACCACAATTTTTCATTTCGCACAATTGTATAGATATTTTAGAATAAAATAACTTCATTTTAACCATACGTATTCTTAATATACACGTACTATCTTTAGTATGCCAATGATCAACCAATGCTTAATAGATGATCTACTAAAATAGTAGATCGTGCTCTTTTTTTTAAATGCCTAAAATGAAAATATTGTGTGGCAAATCTACATTGAAATTTTAATGCAAAATCATGGCCAATTAAATTTGAAATAAA